GTTTTGTTACAAACTCCTTTTAAATTATAACGTGTAAAAAACATGAACCTCGAGAAAAATATCAGAATGTTGGTTTTTGTTTTTTCATAATGAAAAATGATTCGATTATTTGAATAAATGTTTACGGACGAGTTAACGATCGACTTCATTCTCTCAAACGTCTTGAACTTTAAAACCATATTTTTTAAACTTTGCCTGAAATCCACATGAAGAAAGTTTGATTGCTGTTGGTTTATTTTCTCTATTAATTCACGCTTGAAGTCAATATTTTAGACCAACGTTTTTGGACAGTTTTAACATTTGTCCTCATGTGGACGTTTCTTCTGTGGTTTCATGTCCTCCTGTCTGAGGATTGTCTCTGTGCTGATGTGCATGAGAGGCTTCTTGAAGGGAAGTGAAACATGGTGTGAGTGAGTGACTGCTGGAGCAGAAGAAACATCTGGCAGAAACTCCTCAAAGGCCTGAATCGGCCCTCTCACAGTGAAGGGGTCCCATGTCTGGTGCTTGATTGACAGCTGATCGTGTCTCCTAGGTGATGTCCGGCCCACCCTGACGGTGCTGCCCCCCTCTAGGGAGGAGCTGCAGAAGGGGACGGCCACGCTGGTGTGCCTGGCCGACAAGGGCTTCCCCTCCGACTGGAGTCTGGCCTGGAAGGTGGACGGCAGCAGCAGCAGCTGGGAGGAGAGCAGGAGCCCTGGGGTGCTGGGGGGGGGCGCCCTCTACAGCTGGAGCAGCACCCTGAGGCTCCCTGCAGACCAGTGGGCCAAGGTGGGCTCCGTGACCTGTGAGGCCACCCAGGGCTCCCAGACTGCGCTCTCAGAGACGCTGAGGAGAGACCAGTGTTCCCAGTGAGCTGAGCCACTGGGGCTCTGATACTGGTTCACTCTCATACCGGTTCAGTCTGCCTGTAACTCTACATTTTTTGTTAATTTCTTGTTTTAATCACTGTCTAAGTTGCTGTTTCATTCAATAAGTTCTGTTCTTTTATTTTGTTCAACACAATAAATAACATTTCATCAAATTCATTGTCATCAGTATGTTATTGTAAAAGTAGACGGATGGTTTCTCTTTTCTCTAGTTCCAATAAATGCAGGAAAAGTTCTTCAACTTGAATTTTTATAATTTATTGGGAAATGGCCAAGGAATACTAAAAATATTAGGATTGTTATTGTAAAGTAAACATATGTTTGTCTTTCTTTGGTTGCAATACATCTAGAAACCAGTTAACTGAGTCTTGAGATTTCATATTTATTGGAAATGTGTAATGAACTTAACTGAATGTGATCAAAGTAATGTCATACTTCGTTTCACCATCAAGGGAAAAAAAAATACTTTTTTAACAAGTCTGATTTTTAAATGTATTAAGGAAAATCCCTTTAACAGAATCTACACCACAGGGTTTGTCAGTTATTGTTTCTAGTCAAAATAATCTTAATTTGACAACAGTCCAAGATGTGTTAAGTAAATTGGGATTGGAAAGTAGGATATCTTCATTATTTTTTATCATAGTATTAATAAAGTTCTTTTGAGTTAGCACATTTCAACAATAAGGCAATTCAAAGGGCTTCACGTTAGAGCGTGTAGTGTAGTTTTAGACTCTAAATAGTAAAATACAGTAATAATATGCAGAGATGCAGTAAATGGATCAACATCCCCGTCTGGTTCAATTAAAAGCTGCAGGCATCATAACCCCAGTGAATCTTAATTTGAAGCCGCTGAGAGTCTCAGCAGACCTTCAGCTTTCTGGCAGTTTGTTCCAGATGTGTAGCAGAAGATGTGAAGCTGCTTCTCCATGTTTGGTTGTGACTCTGGGAACAGAGAGCAGAGCCAGAGGACCTGGGGGGTCGGGATGGTTTGTAACGTGGCAGCAGGTCACGTGTGTGTTTTGGCCCTGAACCGTTCAGTGACAAGTTATTAAAATCCTGTGGAAGCCTCTAATCCTTGATATAATCTTCAGGTGACAGTAGGGATCATAGTAGATGTGTGTGTCGTCTGCATAATGACGAATACACACTTTGTTTCTTTGCATAATGTGAGCAGGTGGAAGCATGTAGATGTTGAACAGGAGAGGCCCCAGGAAGGAACCTTGGGAAACACCTCATGTGTTTTAATCCGCTGTGATGTGTAATTAGCTACAGAAAACAAAGTGCTCGCGGTTCTTCAAGTAGGATTCAAACCAACGTCGTGTGACTCTTAAGCCTAGTTTATGCTTCTGTGTTTTCAGAGAGACGCAAGGACACGTAGACGCAAGAGCCCCTTGCGTGTCCCTTGCGTGTCTTTTCACACCTCCTTGCGTGCGTCGACCCATTTTTCTAGACTTTTCTCAAAATCTACGCAGCCTCCTGCATTCCGCAAGGCTGTGATTGGTCTGCTAACTACGTACTTTACGGAGTCTCACATTTCCGTTTTCATAGCACAATACGGCCATTATTAAAAGGAAGACTGTTTACGAGAGAACGGATCAGATTGAAGAGCTTTTGTGGGAAGAAATGCGTATATATGACCGCTTCTACAAGCCGTCATTGGCGGACTATAAGGACGCCAGATGGCCTCTGATTCATGGAGGGAGATCTCCACAAACGAGGAGAACAAAGTTGTGGAGGAAATTACGGGACAAATGTGTCCGTGATGAAAAGCAGCTGTGTCGATTCACGGGGCAATAAAGTCTATGATAAATAAATAAACCAACCAACTGGAGGTGAATCGCTCTGCAACACACGCAAGACTTTTAGAACCATGAAGTGAAACGAGTGCGTCGACACGACATAAAGACGGAAACGCAGAAACATGCGCCGGCCTTTAGTCCGTCTGGTAATGTGTCACCGTTGACCTTGTTGAACGCCGCACTGAGTTCCAGTAATACTAAGACTGCTATAAAAGCAGTGAGATCCAAATAAAACATAACTTTAGCGTTTTACTATGATTACAAGATCATTAAAAGACAAACCATCCATTTAGGTTGGTTGGAAAATAAACTAGTTGAATTTTATATTAATCACACTAATGATTAAATTGGAATTTATGAGCCACATTTAAGTTCATGTCCATGTATTAAAATAACTTATTTTTGTTCTTTTTCTTTGTGTTAAAACAAAGTGTGCCTCCTACAGGGGAGGCGGGCGCTCTTATAAGTTGGTGCGAATGGCGCATAGTTGGGGGAGAAACTGGTTACGGCAGATACCGTCTTTGACTCGGCCTCAGCCCTGTGACTACACTTGATGGTGATTGGCATCGTAAGGCATCCAAACCATTACAACTCAATTGTTGTAATTACTCCTGGGTTTCCGCTCGGAGGCAAAGCCGCGAGTCAGACGACTGGTCCCGATCTCCCGGCGTGGTTAAAGCGATAGGACGCATGAATAGGGGCCAAAGAGAGCGAGTTTTAGCCGCAACGGGAATCACTCAAAAATAGTCCTTAAAAACATATAGAGGTGAATACTGTATTTCAGGGATATATAGTGATCATGTTAATTGTATTAACATATATTTTCCCTTATTCAACTAGATTATCATTCATTCTATTTTAAACAATATTTCCTGACAAAACGATGAAGTGTCACTCAAACGTAAAGTGTTCCTGTGCAGCTGTTGAGTGGATCAGTTCCACTCAACAGTGCCAGAACTGGCTTTACACCTGATGGAGACAGTCTGTCCTGGAAGAACAGACTGAGATCCAGGAGACTGAGTCATCTGGATTTCTCCTGATGAACCTGGAAAACATGAAGAAGAGCAGAAGGGTTATTGAGACATATCCAGTGTGGAGAAAGATGATCAAGATCCAAACAGAAGAGTCTCATTTCTTCAACACGGAGAACAGGTGAAGAAGGTCCACGCTGCTTGTTCCACTGGTTCTCCCTCACAGCAGAACGTCCCTGTGGACAAGCAAAGCCTCTAGAAGAGGGTCTCACCCTGAACAAGGAGCCCCAGGCTGCTCAGCAGTAGACTCAGTGACATCATCATTGTGCTGCCGGCGTGTCAGTGTGCGTGAGGCCTGGACCGCCACTGATCAGCTCTCTTAAGGCGTGTGAGCAGAGAGGAAGGACACGTATACAAACACACGGAGCCAGTGAGTCCTCGTCACATGACCGGGTTTCACTATTTAAATCATCTCACAAGGGAGAGGAAGCCTCTTAGGATCCAGACTCCATCAATCAGTTTGAACGGAAATTTGAGTTCTAGTATGATTTTAAGTCACAATACACAGGATATTTTTTCACATATAACAGATATTTATTTGTATTCTATATTTATTGGGTACCGAATATCCTAAAAAAATATATTTAATTTTAAACTGTACATTTCAACTATTACTCGTATCATAGAATTGTATTTGTGTCGAAGCGCAGTTTGTCCGGTTTGACGAAGACATGTCCGAGATCTCCACAAGAGAAGGAGCACCCCAGAGAACGCGTTCCTCTCCCTTCTTCTTTTCATTTTATCCTCCTGACTAAAGACAAACGGTCTCCTACCCAAGCCAAAGAGCTGGATCTAAAAAGGAGGTCGAATCTTTTGTCTGCTGCTGTGATGAAAACATCCTAAAACTAAATGTCGGAAAGACCAGAGAGCTGCTCACTGATTTCAGGAGGGTGGTGGAGCAGGTCTCCCAATGACAATCGAGGGTCAGCAGGCATTGTCCAGTCACAGAAATATGTCGGGATCTACCTGGGTACTAAGTTCAACCCTGATGCCGTATTCAAAAAGGCTCAGTCCAAACTCTTCTTATTGAGGAAACTAAGGTCCTTTGACATCAGCAGAACCCTTCTTCACATTTTTATCACGGGATCGAAGCTAGTGTCCTCTTCTACGCCAGATACCTGAGACACGGAAGGACTCCTGCTAATGCTAAATACTGAGAGTGCTGAAGAAACAAGTAGTCCCTTCAAAACAAATCTTTATTACTATATTTGTATTAGTCATCAACACTGATCTACAGATAAGGTGAGCTACTGGTGTGTGTGTGTGTGTGTGTGTGTGTGTGTCTCCAGTGAAGTGTGTCAGCTGTCAGTTCAGTTTCTGTTCCTTCTGACTGAAGGAGGTTTTTGTACGACTCTTTTTCACTGTGTGAACATATGCTGACTGTTGATGTAATGATAACTCTGACAGTAGTAATGTGCTGCATCTTCAGCTGTGACTCCACTGATGCTCAGAGTGAAGGAAGATCCTGATCCACTGCCTGTAAAACGACCTGGAGTCCCTGATGCTCGACTGGTAGCATAATAAATCAGCAGCTTAGGAGCTCCTCCGTCTCTCTGTTGGTACCAGGCTAAACAATTAGAGTCATAAACACTCTGACTGGTTGTACATGAGATGGAGACGGAGCCTCCAGCAGCAGAGCTCACTGCTCCAGGCTGAGTCACTGTGACCTGGCCTCTGGACTCTGAGGACACGGAGACAAAGACATAAAGCAGCGTCATGGTCGTGTCTCCTTCATTTCAGAGGGACGCACGTCCACAGAGGAGAGGACTTTGGTCCTCTGGACTTTACCTGTGAAGCAGAGGAGAGTCCAGACGAGGACGCAGATCAGAGTCATGTTTGTGATGAGGAGGATCTCTGTGTCTTCTGCTGTGATGAAGGACAGCTGTCCTCCAGGGTCCAACTCTCAGGACTATAAGGTCTCCCAGAGCACTGGAGCATGTGCTGCTGATGCAAAGTGTCTCTATGGAAATGCTGTGCCTGACTCCTCTGATGACGCTGGTGATCAATGGATCAATCAGCTGATCGCTCCATTGATCAGGAATGTGTCAGTGCTCGTTAACGAGTCTTTGATGCCGTTTGATGGAAAACTTTTCTTCTGGAATGTTTTATAAAATCCCCAAATTTTACTACAATGTAAATTAACATCAGAATGAGACAAAATTCATCAAAACGGATATTTTTTCATTCTTATAGCGCACAATAAATATACATTTATGATCATTTTCACTTTTTTGGATATTGGAAATGTGTAATGAAACACTAAAATATTAATATACATTTTTGTGAAATGTTCTTTAGTAATCATTTATTTGTTTTTTATTAATTGAATATCACTAACAGATGTCAAACGTTCATCAAATAACCGGTTGAATACACATTTACTTTGTGTTGATCAGTTTGATGAGTCGAGGTCTTGTACACACTGAATGTGTGTAGTGTGTTTGTGTGTCTGTCACAGAGTCGTGTGTCTCTACTCTCACAGGTTTTTGTACGGCGGTTCGATGCCTTCGTGTCACTGTGGTGGACGTTTGGTGGAGGAACCAGACTGAGCGTTGGAAGTAAGTCAAACCTTTAATAATCTCATTGTTTCTGACTACAATGTGTTATATTTATATTTATATTCAACAGCCAAGACAGAAAATAGATGCTTTTATATATTTATGGATGTTTCTCAGATATTTTGCAATCAGAGAGAAACTTTCCATCAGTGAACTTTAAAACGTTATTTGTATGAAAAATCAAAGTAAAAAAATCTGTTTCTTTATTTAAAGCTCTTTCTGATTTCATGCCTTAGTTTCTCCTCCTTCATACATTTATATTAGAGAAGCTCTACTAAACGTTTTGTTACAAACTACTTTCAACTTATAACGTGTAAAAAACATGAACCTCGAGAAAAATATCAGAATGTTGGTTTTTGTGATTCGATTATTTGAATAAATGTTTACGGACGAGTTAACGATCGACTTCATTCTCTCAAACGTCTTGAACTTTAAAACCATATTTTTAAATTTTGCCTGAAATCCACATGAAGAAAGTTTGATTGCTGTTGGTTTATTTTCTCTATTAATTCACGCTTGAAGTCATTATTTAAGACCAACGCTTTTGGACAGTTTTAACATTTGTCCTCATGTGGACGTTTCTTCTGTGGTTTCATGTCCTCCTGTCTGAGGATTGTCTCTGTGCTGATGTGCATGAGAGGCTTCTTGAAGGGAAGTGAAACATGGTGTGAGTGAGTGACTGCTGGAGCAGAAGAAACATCTGGCAGAAACTCCTCAAAGGACTGAATCGGCCCTCTCACAGTGAAGGGGTCCCATGTCTGGTGGTTGATTGACAGCTGATCGTGTCTCCTAGGTGATGTCCGTCCCACCCTGACGGTGCTGCCCCCCTCCAGGGAGGAGCTGCAGCAGGGGACGGCCACGCTGGTGTGCCTGGCCGACAAGGGCTTCCCCTCCGACTGGAGTCTGGCCTGGAAGGTGGACGGCAGCAGCAGCAGCTGGGAGGAGAGCAGGAGCCCCGGGGTGCTGGGGGGGGGCGCCCTCTACAGCTGGAGCAGCACCCTGAGGCTCTCTGCAGACCAGTGGGCCAAGGTGGGCTCCGTGACCTGTGAGGCCACCCAGGGCTCCCAGACTGCGCTCTCAGAGACGCTGAGGAGAGACCAGTGTTCCCAGTGAGCTGAGCCACTGGGGCTCTGATACTGGTTCACTCTCATACTGGTTCAGTCTGCCTGTAACTCTACATTTTCTGTTCATTTCTTGTTTTAATCACTGTCTAAATTCCTGTTTCATTCAATAAGTTCTGTTCTTTTATTTTTTCAACACAATAAATAACATTTCATCAAATTCATTGTCATCAGTATGTTATTGTAAAGTGGACGGATGTTTCTCTTTCTCCAGTTCCAATAAATGCAGAAAAAGTTCTCAACTTGAATTTTTATAATTATTGGAAATAGCAAGAAATACTAAAATATTAGGATTGTTATTGTAAAGTAAACATATGTTTGTCTTTCTTTGGTTGCAATACATCTAGAAACAGTTAAATCAACTGAGTCTTGAGATTTCATATTTATTGGAAATGTGTAATGAGCTTAACTGAATGTGACCCAGATATGATCAAAGTATTGTCATACTTCGTTTCACCATTAAGGGAAAAAAAAATACTTTTTTAACAAGTCTGATTTTTAAATGTATTAAGGAAAATCCCTTTAACAGAATCTACACCACAGGGTTCGTCAGTCATTGTTTATAGTCAAAATAATCTTAATTTAACAACAGTTCGAGATGTGTTAAGTAAATTGGGATTGTAAAGTAGGATATCTTCATTATTTTTTATCATAGTATTAATAAAGTTCTTTTGAGTTAGCACATTTCAACAATAAGGCAATTCAAAGGGCTTCATATTAAAGCATGTAGTGTAGTTTTAGACTCTAAATAGTAAAATACAGTAATAATATGCAGAGATGCAGTAAATGGATCAACATCCCCGTCTGGTTCAATTAAAAGCTGCAGCCAACAGAAACGTCTTCAGTCTTAATTTGAAGCCGCTGAGAGTCTCAGCAGACCTTCAGCTTTCTGGCAGTTTGTTCCAGATGTGTAGCAGAAGATGTGAAGCTGCTTCTCCATGTTTGGTTGTGACACTGGGAACAGAGAGCAGAGCCAGAGGACCTGGGGGGTCGGGATGGTTCGTAACGTGGCAGCAGGTCACGTGTGTGTTTTGGCCCTGAACCGCTCAGTGACAAGTTATTAAAATCCTGTTGAAGCCTCTAATCCTTGATATATTCTTCAGGTGACAGTGGGGATCATAGTAGATGTGTGTGTCGTCTGCATAATGACGAATACACACTTTGTTTCTTTGCATAATGTGAGCAGGTGGAAGCATGTAGATGTTGAACAGGAGAGGCCCCAGGAAGGAACCTTGGGGAACACCTCATGTGTTTTAATCCGCTGTGATGTGTAATTAGCTACAGACACAAAGGGCTCACGGTTCTTCAAGTAGGATTCAAACCAGTGTCGTGTGACTCTTAAGCCTAGTTTATGCTTCTGTGTTTTCAGAGAGACGCAAGGACACGCAGACGCAAGAGCCACTTGCGTGTCCCTTGCGTGTCTTTTCACACGTCCTTGCGTGCGTCGACCCATTTTTCTAGACTTTTCTCAAAATCTACGCAGCCTCCTGCATATTAAAACAATATTTCCTGACAAAACGATGAAGTGTCACTCAAACGTAAAGTGTTCCTGTGCAGCTGTTGAGTGGATCAGTTCCTCTCCAGCTGAGGAGGTTTTTGTACGACGTTGTTTCACTGTGTGAACGGGGGGCTTGAACCCTGCTGACAATAATAATCTCCTGCATCTTCAGTCAGAACTCCTCTGATGGTCAGAGTGAAGTCACTTCCAGATCCACTTCCACTGAAACGATCTGAGATCCCTGACTGACGACTTGCAGCGTAATAAATCAAAAGTTTGGGAGATTCTTCTGGTTTCTGTAGGTACCAGTGAAGGTTGTTACTAATGCCAGAACTGGCTTTACACCTGATGGAGACAGTCTGTCCTGGAACAACAGACTGAGATCCAGGAGACTGAGTCAGCTGGATTTCTCCTGATGAACCTGGGAAACATGAAGAAGAGCAGAAGGGTTATTGAGACAAATCCAGTTTGGAGAAAGATGATCAAGATCCAAACAGAAGAGTCTCATTTCTTCAACACGGAGAACAGGTGAGGAAGGTCCACGCTGCTTGTTCCACTGGTTCTCCATCACAGCAGAACGTCCCTGTGGAGAAGCAAAGCCTCCAGAAGAGGGTCTCACCCTGAACAAGGAGCCCCAGGCTGGTCAGCAGTAGACTCAGTGACATCATCATTTTGTTGCCGGCGTGCCAGTGTGCCAGTGTGCGTGAGGCCCGGACCGCCACTGATCAGCTCTCTTAAGGCGTGTGAGCAGAGAGGAAGGACACGTATGCAAACACACGGAGCCAGTGAGTCCTCGTCACATGACCGGGTTTCACTATTTAAATCACCTGTGATGTAACTTCTTAAGAAACACGTTAACATGACCATGAACTGAAGACTCTTCTTCAACCCTCCAAAGAACAGTTTGAGCTTTATTAAAGTTTCCACAAACACAATCATCACTCGTGTGAATTAAACAGTGAAACATTAATCAAGAGAAGTTTCCACCAGGATCTTCAGCTTGGTTTTATTCTGTAGAACAACATTTCTTCATGGTTCACGTGTCACACACAACTCTCCTCTGAGGTGATTTTCTTCTTGTCTCCAGTTTTCAGTTAATATTTCCTGTTTTATTTCGGTGGACTTGGCTCTTGTGTTTCCCCACTTTGTGATCGTGTGCTTCTTGGTGGTTGTGTCCCTCCTTTCATTGTGTGTTTCTTCGTGTCCTCTTCTCTCTGGGCCGGTTTGTTCTGTCTTTTTTAGAGTATCGGCCATAACGCTCTTCCCTCCCTACATGTGCTTTCCAGTCTACGTACCTATTGAACGCTGCCTTCAGGTAATCACCTCGTGCTTCAACTTCTCTGCGCATTCAGTCTTTTGTGTGTTGGTGCCGGTTTCATTGATAAAACACAGTAACAGAGAACATCTATTTCAATAAGTAGACGTTCCAGTAATGAACCAGAATGAGAAACATCTGCGTTTCCTTCACACAAGTTCTTTCAGTCGTGATCTGAGTATGAGACAGAAAGAAGAACAGCCGCCGCCTGCAGAGACGCATGAACGCTGACGAGTCCTTTCATAGCTCACAACACGTAGCATGGCGCTAACATCTCAGGTGATACTCATGAAAGTGTGTTCTTAGTGACCTGGATGAAACACCGGCTGGAGACCTGAACAC